AAGCAGCTGAACAGGAAAAGCATACAATCAGCTTACACTCCTGGCAATCAGCATACAATCCAATTCCCCCAATAACGAGACGATGTACAGAGGGAATGCCCCTAGAACCGGAACCACAATGCATGGGGTCGTCCAGGTCAAGCACCTGTAAAGAGAGCAGCGGCCCATTGCTATAGAACCGAGACCGGTACCCGAGATGCAGTCCCTAGCTACACTGAGGAACAACTGGGTGTCTTTCCGCCCTCCCTCCCCTTATTTGTTTACTTTCTGTATACTTGTTTGTATGTGTATGTTTGTAACAGTGTGGAAGCCCAGCGGACATGTGGCGGTACATGGCCCTTGTCAACCGTGGGTTGGACCAGCGGTCCGTGGAAAGTGGATGGGTAGGGCTGTCCCTCCACTTACCTCAGGTACAGTTATGGATAACGGACATGCCCACTGAGCCAATAATCGGCTAGTGGTTAGCATTACGAGAATCAAAGGCCCAAGAAAAGGCCTTGTGCTGGTTGGAACGAGGGGAGAGGGGAGCTGCCCTAAGTTATGTGTTTTGGTTGTCAAGGTGGTACTCAGTGACGGATACTTATGTACTGAGTAATTATGTATATAGAATGTTTTATATTATAAAAGTTGATAGTTTAAAGTATTACATATTTATAATTTAATAAAGCTGTGGCCTATTTACTGCAAAAGCAAGTCTGTGGTTGTTTATTTTGGGCAATAAGTGTTTGGGTGGTTTATAACTGGTGAAGGTTCATGCCCAATACCCAGTTACCCTCTACCTACGCACCTGTTCCTGTATGCAATGGAGCTTTGATGTGCCTGTTTGGAGCCTCACTTCCAAATATGTACGGCTTGAAACTATACCGTGGCCTACAAGCCTGAACTGGTCCCTGGAGGGGAGAAACGGCCGATCTACCAGCCTAGACCTGCTGGTGAATATGAAGCATGAATTGCCTGCCCAGCTTGCCCCCTCTGGACCGGTGGAGGTTATTCCGGTCCCCACCAAGGGTACAATCGCTGTGGACTCTGAATTGCTATAACGTGTGCCGACTAATTCTGCAAAACCTTGTGGCACCGTTAAAATGGCCGCAACGACGACTAATCTTCCCATGGGCGACTGGATAGCCAGATTCCAAGCAACGTTTGATGCGGTTTGTGCAGCGTTCCGGAGCCGATTGGAGTCTCGTCGGGAAGCACAGTTACTCATCTTACCTTCGGCAGAGGAGGCCCCCGCCAGCATCTCGGCGCAATGTTACCTTTCTGGGATGAGAGCCACGATGGACACAACACCCTGGGGGAACTATTTGCAAAATGGAGAACCCTGCCACATGAGCTAGAGGGTCCAGTGACTCCCAGGAATTGGCTCATCAGCTGGCCTGGGAAGCAGAGGGGCTGGATCGCTGCATCATAGATCTCTGTGGTCTGACACGTCTCTTAACCCCTTAAGGCCCGCGGACATACTAGGTATGTCCGACAAAAAACGGTCCTTAAGGACCGAGCGATCATGATTGCTTCCAGCCACTCCCCAAGAGCTATCACTTCCGGGTTGCCCCACGTGAAGCCTGGCAGTGTAGCAGAGCCCTGGAAGCCATCTGGGCAGGCTGCCGATGCTCTGCCTGTGTGCCTCGAGGGGTCAAGGCACTCAGTGAAGACTTAAATAAAATAATGAAATAATAAATAAAATAAAATAAATTACATTGGCTGGCTTAAAAAAATGTCCAAAATAGGACATAGGAGCATGATGACCAGATGTGAAAATTCCATGTTGGAAAACTGGAATGCGCACCCTCCAAATAAGGTATTTTAGCCCCCAGAGAACCTGACACACCTGTACATGTGTGGTATCACACATATTGGGGTGTTCTTTGGCAGTAACCCTTAAAGTTCTCATTACAAGTATCCCTAAATTGCTATGTGTGTGAAAAAAACACCAATTATTTATTTTTTTAATTTGGCATAGATTGGTGGTAAATTGTTGCATGAAAAGAGTCAAAATACCCAAGTTTAGGGGTTTAGGCCGGCAGGGGAGATCCTTTCATCTCCCCTGCTGGCACATGCAGAGCAAGCCTTGCTGTAAGCCCTCTCGGGCTGGTGAGGAGATCAAAGTTCCAACAGAGGGAGGGAAGGGCCTGGGAGGCTCTGTGTTTGTCCCGTGAGCAGGCTGGTTGGAGCATTGCCGCACGTTACCATGGCAATGCACCGATACAGTGCTGTGCTCGCAAGAGTCAGCCTGCAGCCAGAGGAGGTGCAGGCTAAAGTGAACATGCCACCACTGGACCAGCAGGGCTTGCAACATTATGTCCCCACTCCCTGGTAAAAGGTTAGAAGACGGCAGGAGGAGACATTGAGATAAATTTTTCACATCTCTCCCATCTTCACACAGCATAGACCCTATGTACCCTTCACACACAAACACAGACTGCCCTCCTCACACACACTACCCCATACTGTACCCTCACACACTGCACCCTTCACACACACACACTGCCACCATCACACACACGTACACACACACACACATCACCTCTAACAAACACTGCCCCCCTCCACACACACAGTGCACCCCTCACTCACACATTGCCACCTGCTCGCACCCTTCACACACACACTGCCCCCCTCCCTCCCCACACACACATAGAAAAAAAAAAGGTAAAATAGTAAAAAAAAAAAAAAAAACCCTCCTTTCTAAAAAAATAAATAAATCACACTCACGCTATAAAATTAGTTACGGTGGCACTGGTGGTCGGTAAGGAAATATTGCCATCAACAAAAGTGGGCGGTTGGTAGCGCCTAATGGATAATGGATACACCCAGAGTTATTAAAAGAGCTTAGTGGTGTACTAGCAAAATCATTGACAGATTTATTTAACCAATCATTGTTAACAGGAGTAGTCCCAGAAGATTGGAAGTTAGCGAATGTTGTGCCCATTCACAAGAAAGGTAATAGGGAGGAGTCGGGCAACTATAGGCCAGTAAGCCTTACTTCAGTAGTGGGGGAAAGTGATGGAAACCATGTTAAAGGATAGGATTGGAGAACATCTAAAAACACATGGATTTCAAGATCAGAGACAACATGGGTTTACTTCAGGGAGATCATGCCAAACTAATCTTATTGATTTTTTTGATTGGGTAACTAAAATTATAGATCAGGGTGGTGCAGTAGACATTGCTTACCTAGATTTCAGTAAGGCTTTTGACACTGTTGCACAGAGAAGGCTTATCAATAAACTGCAATCTTTAAGTTTGGATTCCAATATTGTTGAATGGGTAAGGCAGTGGATGAGTGACAGGCAACAGAGGGTTGTAGATAATGGAATATATTCAAAGCTTGGACTTGTCACCAGTGGGGTAGCTCAAGGATCTGTACTTGGACCGATTCTCTTTATATTTTTATTAGTGATATTGCAGAAGGTCTTGATGGTAAGGTATGTCTTTTTGCTGATGATACTAAGATATGTAACAGGGTTGATGTTCCAGGAGGGATAAGCCAAATGGCAAATGATTTAGGTAAACTAAAAAAATGGTCAGAATTGTGGCAACTGACATTTAATGTGGATAAGTGCAAGATAATGCATCTTGGACGTAAAAACCCAATGGCAGAGTACAAAATATTTGATAGAGTCCTAACCTCAACATCTGAGGAAAGGGATTTAGGGGTGATTATTTCTGATGACTTAAAGGTAGGCAGACAATGTAATAGAGCAGCAGGAAATGCTAGCAGAATGCTTGGTTGTATAGGGAGAGGTATTAGCAGTAGAAAGAGGGAAGTGCTCATGCCATTGTACAGAACACTGGTGAGACCTCACTTGGAGTATTGTACACAGTACTGGAGACCGTATCTTCAGAAGGATATTGATACCTTAGAGAGGGTTCAGAGAAGGGCTACTAAACTGGTTCATGGATTGCGGGATAAAACTTACCAGGAAAGGTTAAAGGATCTTAACATGTATAGCTTGGAGGAAAGACGAGACAGGGGGGATATGATAGAAACATTTAAATACATAAAGGGAATCAACACAGTAAAGGAGGAGACTATATTTTAAAAGAAGAAAAACTACCACAACAAGAGGACATAGTCTTAAATTAGAGGGACAAAGGTTTAAAAATAATATCAGGAAGTATTACTTTACTGAGAGGGTAGTGGATGCATGGAATAGCCTTCCAGCTAAAGTGGTAGAGGTTAACACAGTAAAGGAGTTTAAGCATGCGTGGGATAGGCATAAGGCTATCCTAACTATAAGATAAGGCCAGGGACTAATGAAAGTATTTAGAAAATTGGGCAGACTAGATGGGCCAAATGGTTCTTATCTGCTGTCACATTCTATGTTTCTATTTTAGAGGGGGTGTTAACCCACATTATTATTAAATGCTGCAATAATTAGCTTTGCAGGGTTAAGGGACCTGAGACACTGCAGCCAGATTACTTCACTCAAGTGATCTGGGTGCCTATAGTGTCCTTTTAATTCGCACAGTGTGGGAGGATAAGACTGACATAAATGTCTGTATGTGTCTTGCATTACTGGTGCCCTCTTGTGGTTTCATGCGGTTTCTGTCAGCACTGTATGTTGTTGAGCTGTTGTATTGTGTATTCCAGTACAGGAACCAGAATGCGGGAAAGGGCTCAGGGTTAATAGGCAGAATGCTTTAAATCCTTAATTCAGCATGCAGTTATTGTAAGAACTATTCAGAACGCAGATAGTCCGTAATCAAGGATAAAAGCTATTAAATGTTGAAGTTGTCTTTGTGTCCGGCTGACTATTTATTTATACAATGCGTTCCACATAATATTCCGACCAGGAATAGCGATGCTTATACTTACTGAACGAAAGTCAGAACGCTCACACAGTGCCACGGGACACCCTGGATTCTGATTGGCTCAGACTGACACAACGTCCGGCTGCGTCTGTTGAGATGTCTGCAGAGCTTGGTCTTGTTCTTTAATAATATATTAACATTTGTCTACTGTTTGATTTTTGCTAACAAATAATTATCATCGTCTGTCATCTTCCAACGGAATACAATAAATCTGTAACAGACCAAGAAAACGACATGAAATGATCTAACATGATAAATACATACAGTTAAAATTGGTTTGTAACATTGTTACTCAATGAAATCTCTGCCCCGCACACCACTACATGGACTGGCTCAGATCAGAGGATGGTGGTAAAAATATCTGAAACAATACATTATGCGCACCGATTAGCTGCCGCGGCCAAGGAATGAGCAAAGACATTATCTAAGGATGAAGCGTGGGACTCAACAAGAAACATCTCTCAGAAAGAGACCATTTATGACAATTAAAAGACAAATGAATATAAAATACTGCAATCTATAAATTGTTCTACAGTTGTGCTTAAAAGTCTGCATACCCTGGCAGAAATAGTGACATTTTGTCATTGATTTTAAAAATAGGGCTGATTGTGCAAAAATGTTTTTATTTTTTATTGAAGGATAGTGATCATATGAAGCCATTTATTATCACACAGTTGTTTGGCTCCTTTTTAAATTTATAATCTCATGGATTGTAATTCCCCTTTCATAATATTGTAAAGTGCCGCGGTTCACACTGGGTTTTTTCCCTTCTTTTGGATCAATAGCAATAAAAACCAAATGTGAGAAAGGCTCTTTTCCGCCTATGTAACTGTAAAATCAAACCCAGTTATCCATTTCAATGTGCCCAGTGTCCAAAGTAACAACTAAATAAATGAGGAATATGAAAATTCTTCATTTAGTCCCCTTGGGTAAGGTGTTTTCAACTTGTAAATCCAAAAGCATTCACGGTGCCTAAGGAATTTATCATAGTCCCCACCTCTTAACCAGTTCCAGGCCACAAAAAAGTACTCCCTTGGGATTTCCAGAATGGTAACAAATCAGATGCCTAGTGTGGCGGAACCAGCCTCGCCACTGGGCATTGGAGAAGACTGATTGCCAGCCTCCTGCCATGTGACTATGGCCCCTGGGATATATTGCCTGCTCTCCTGTACTGCTGAGGATTGCTACCAACTAGGTGGATTTGGCTATGGAGCTTGTCTAGTGCCCTCTGTTGGTAGCAACAGCAATATGCACTACCTGAATAGCAAGACTGGCTCATGTGCATATTCGGGTAGATTTGCATATTGCTAATTCTGCAGACACGTGAGATATTTTCTGTTAATTATGGTCTCCCCCACCTCTTTAAAAATATGCCATTGTGTTATAATAAGTCACTATATGTTGCCTGCTATGATTTGACTGTTTGTAATTTTATTGAGTTTTCACAGCAATGTTAATGTAATGACCATATGGGCTAGTCCCAAGTAAAATAAAGTTTTAGACAGTTTTCCTTGACCCTCAACACGTAGTCTTGTCTCGTGACTGTAACGGAACTCCCAAGGACCACAAGCACCGCAGACTGCACAACTGCCGTAGCTTAACTGGAGTCTCGCCGTCTTCTGTCCAGCCTGGATCAGCTTCTGTTCTTCAGGACTGTGTGGGGAAGATCTCTCTTCCAGGGAAGATTATCAGGAACAAGCTCAAAGGGAGTATGCAGAGCATAGCAATACCCAGTGTGATTATAGCAGTTTCCTCCAATAACGAGACAAGTCTACATTTTGAAGGGTAAAGAAGAACTGTCTAAAACTTTATTTTACTTGGGACTAGCCTATATGGTCATTACATTAACATTGCTGTGATAACTCAATAAAATTACAAACAGTCAAATCATAGCAGGCAACATACAGTGACTTATTATAACATAATTACATATTTATAAATGGGCGGGAAAGACTATAATTAACACAAAATGTCTCTCCTGCATGAATATGCAAATGAGTCAGTCTTGCTATTCAGGTAGTGCATATTGCTGTTGCTACCAACAGAGGGCACTAGACAAGCTCCATAGCCAAATCCACCTAGTTGGTAGCAAACCTCATCAGTACAGGAGAGCAGGCAATACATCCCGGGGGCCATAGTTACATGGCAGGAGGCTGGCAATCAGTCTTCTCCAATGCCCAGTGGCGAGGCTGGTTCTGCCACACCTAGATATTGGGGTCTCAACTGTACTTTAGTGGATCTTACATGCTCATAAATGCATTCCTTAAAGGGATAGAACGTGTTATCTACGTCTTTGAGACCACACTTGCATGTAAGGAGGTACACCAGTCCTGCCATACAGCTGTTAATTTCACAGATTTTACTATTAACATGCCATAAAGTCATGATTTTATTAACAACACGGAGGCGAGTATTATGCTGCACTCTTTCTTTATTTTCCCTCAGCAGCAAAGAAAAACTTTCTAACATAACCAGTAGTAACAGTAAACAGTCTGAGGTGTGTATCTTCTTAGCAACAGGAACAGCCAATCGGATTCCGCTCTCCAGCATAATAGGCTCTGTCAACCAATCCAATTCCTCTTTATTTGCGATCCCGAAGCAGTATAATCATCCAACCGAAAGAAAAAGAGACCGTGTAACAAGAGGTATCCCCAACGATCTGAAGTAGGTTAGGCTGTAAAACAAGGAGAAATATGGTAATATCCTAGTACCAAACTGGGTGTACGCATAAATCGTAATCGTCATAATACAATTTTAATTCTCCTAAGCCATTGTGGTTAAGTGAATTATTGACAAGCGTAACCTGCAGAAAATTCCATAACTACTAGGACTTACCGTGAAATCAACTTACCCATATTCCATCCTTCCATGGGATGGGCGGGAGGGATAATACTCGCCTCCGTGTCGTTAATAAAATCATGACTTTACGTCATGTTAATAGTAAAATCTGTGAATTTTATTAAGACACGGAGGCTCCTATTATGCTGGTTTAAAGCTCTGATGTATAACCGTTCCCGCGAAGTGTTGAATGGGTTTAAAGTAAAAGTCACGAAAGGTAGATTCTGAGGAACAATCAGCCACCTTCAAAATGTCTTCAAGACGACAACCAATCGAGGAGGCCATGGAAGCCATCGCTCCTTGTATTGAGTGAGTTGAGAATAGTGAGGTGTCAATGCCCGCTAGGGACATAATCCATTTAACTCATCGAGCCAGAGTAGGAGTAGACACTGGTAGGTGTGGTTTTTGGAAGGACACGAAGAGTTTGTGTTTCGTCATGTCTCATAGTGTGGAGGTGCGAAGTTCATAAGTTTGTAAGCATTTGACCAGGCATAAAAGCGGCCTGTCAGGGAACGCTGGGTATGACACTTTCTTTGAAGACGTCTTCGTTCTGCAAGATATATCTAAAGCAACCCCTTCTGGGGTGTAGGAGCGTGTGCTAATGTCCAGGGCTCTGACATCGGAGACCCTCTTGCAGCATATGAGGCAGAGGAGTATAGCCAGCTTGGCGGACAGTTGTTTCAGGGATAGGAATGCGTTGTCTGGCCATGATTCAAGGAAATTGAGGATGATGGACACGTCCCATAATACTGAGTATCGTTGTAGTGGGGGGACGTGCAAATTTGATGCCACGTAGGATTCTACATATCAGCGGGTGACGTCCTATCGGGGCTCCATCTATCCCTTGGTGTAAAGCCGAAATGGCCGATCGGTACAGGCTTTGCCGTCCTTAAACAATGAAGTTAGGAATTGGAGAATTACAGTCAAAGGAGCTGATATGGGATCCAAATCTCGCTCCAGGCACCAATCACGCCATCTGCTACATGAAGACATACAGGGAGTGCAGAATTATTAGGCAAGTTGTATTTTTGAGGATTAATTTTATTATTGAACAACAACCATGTTCTCAATGAACCCAAAAAACTCATTAATATCAAAGCTGAATATTTTTGGAAGTAGTTTTTAGTTTGTTTTTAGTTTTAGCTATGTTAGGGGGATATCTGTGTGTGCAGGTGACTATTACTGTGCATAATTATTAGGCAACTTAACAAAAAACAAATATATACCCATTTCAATTATTTATTATTACCAGTGAAACCAATATAACATCTCAACATTCACAAATATATATTTCTGACATTCAAAAACAAAACAAAAACAAATCAGTGACCAATATAGCCACCTTTCTTTGCAAGGACACTCAAAAGCCTGCCATCCATGGATTCTGTCAGTGTTTTGATCTGTTCACCATCAACATTGCGTGCAGCAGCAACCACAGCCTCCCAGACACTGTTCAGAGAGGTGTACTGTTTTCCCTCCTTGTAAATCTCACATTTGATGATGGACCACAGGTTCTCAATGGGGTTCAGATCAGGTGAACAAGGAGGCCATGTCATTAGATTTCCTTCTTTTATACCCTTTCTTGCCAGCCACGCTGTGGAGTACTTGGACGCGTGTGATGGAGCATTGTCCTGCATGAAAATCATGTTTTTCTTGAAGGATGCAGACTTCTTCCTGTACCACTGCTTGAAGAAGGTGTCTTCCAGGAACTGGCAGTAGGACTGGGAGTTGAGCTTGACTCCATCCTCAACCCGAAAAGGCCCCACAAGCTCATCTTTGATGATACCAGCCCAAACCAGTACTCCACCTCCACCTTGCTGGCGTCTGAGTCGGACTGGAGCTCTCTGCCCTTTACCAATCCAGCCACGGGCCCATCCATCTGGCCCATCAAGACTCACTCTCATTTCATCAGTCCATAAAACCTTAGAAAAATCAGTCTTGAGATATTTCTTGGCCCAGTCTTGACGTTTCAGCTTGTGTGTCTTGTTCAGTGGTGGTCGTCTTTCAGCCTTTCTTACCTTGGCCATGTCTCTGAGTATTGCACACCTTGTGCTTTTGGGCACTCCAGTGATGTTGCAGCTCTGAAATATGGCCAAACTGGTGGCAAGTGGCATCGTGGCAGCTGCACGCTTGACTTTTCTCAGTTCATGGGCAGTTATTTTGCGCCTTGGTTTTTCCACACGCTTCTTGCGACCCTGTTGACTATTTTGAATGAAACGCTTGATTGTTCGATGATCACGCTTCAGAAGCTTTGCAATTTTAAGAGTGCTGCATCCCTCTGCAAGATATCTCACTATTTTTTACTTTTCTGAGCCTGTCAAGTCCTTCTTTTGACCTATTTTGCCAAAGGAAATGAAGTTGCCTAATAATTATGCACACCTGATATAGGGTGTTGATGTCATTAGACCACACCCCTTCTCATTACAGAGATGCACATCACCTAATATGCTTAATTGGTAGTAGGCTTTCGAGCCTATACAGCTTGGAGTAAGACAACATGCATAAAGAGGATGATGTGGTCAAAATACTCATTTGCCTAATAATTCTGCACTCCCTGTATAAACCTGTCTCGTGCCGGGCGCACATGCGCTCTCGAGAAGGTGGAGAGTTGATTCCGAAACTCCCTCGATTGCCCAAGGTCCCCTGAAATTAACCACACTGATAGATGCAGTAGGCCTTGTCGTACCGGGGGTGAGGAGATCCGTCCGGGTCCTGAAGCAGGTACTCGAAGTGCGGGAGAATGCGAGGTATGTCTATCGTCATCTCTAAGAGGGGGGGGGGGGAAACCATGGTTGGGAGGGCCATAACGGTGCCACAAACACCAGGGTTCCCGTCTGTCGTCGTAACTGCAGTAGGCAGCGGGGAATCAGTGCGAACGGTGGAAAGGCATAATTCCTTGTGGACGACCAATCTTGGGTGAACACATCTGTTGCCAGTGCTGCTGGGTCTGGTCTCCAGCTGAAAAATCTGGGAAGTTGAGTATTCAAGCGGGAGGCGAAAATATTTTTTTCCACGGGGCCCTATAACGACTGGATATCTCGGAAGACCCTGGGATCCAGTTGCCAATCGCTGGGATCCCAGAGGTGTTGTAAATACCAATCTGCCGTGGTGTTGCAGAGCCCCGGAATATATTCCGCTGTGACAAAAATGCCCCGAGTCAGGCAGAACTGCCTAAAATCTTGTGCCATGTTCGCCAGGACCTTCGATTTCGTGTCCCCTAGATGGTTGATATATCGGACTGCCGATATATATTGTCCATCTTCAGAAGGATAGAGCATTGTGCTTGAGTTGGTGAGAAGCTGTGGATCGCAAAGGATCCTGCCAGGAGTTCCAGGCAATTTATGTGGAGTGTAGATTCACTGTCGGACCATCTGCCACCAGATCGCGTCGGATTCTATTACAAGATCTGGTGTGGTGCCGAAAATGGCGCGACCATTCCAGGCTTCCACATGGGAAAGCCACCATGTCAGTTCGTCTTTCGCTTCCGAGTTCAGAGTGATCATATCTGTGTAGAAGACCCCATTTCTCAAGTGGGAAGCTTGTAGATGTTGTAATGCTCGGTAATGGAGAGGGCCCGTAAAGATGGCTTGTATGGAGGCCGCCAGGAGACCAATCCCTCTCGCCAACTGTTTGAGGGTAAGCTGGGGAGTCGCCAGAGTGCGTTTGATTTCCTTTTTTAGATTGTTCAGTTTCGTCATTGGTAGATGTAGGGTCTGAAACGTGGAGTCCACGATGAGACCCAAGAACTCTATGCGTTGTGTGGGAGCCAAAATGGATTTTTCCCAATTGATGAGGAAGCCTAATTTCTGTAATAGAGTCTGAGTCCAGTTCAGATGGGTTTTGGCAAGTTGGGTGGACTGACCCATGATGAGGATGTCATCCAGGTAAATTATGAAACGTACTTCTCGACTCCGCAATAGAGCTATCACGGGCTTCATGAGTTTGGTGAAGCACCACGGGGCTGAGGATAGTCCGAATGGGAGGCAAGTGAATCTCTACTTCCTTCCTTGCCATATGAATTGCAGGAAGTCTTGGTGTTGCGGGGTAATCAGCATTGTAAGATAAGCGTCTTTTAGATCTAACTTCACCATCCAGTCTGATGGTTGGAGAAGATCTCTTAGGCAATGTTTCCTTCCATCTTGAAGTGGTTGTAGGAGATGTAAGTGTTGAGTTGTTTCAAATTGATCACTGGACGGACACCTCCGCCTTTCTTGGCAACCAGGAACAGGTTCCTCACATAGCCTGGTGTGGCCATAGGGATTTCTGAGATGGCTTGTTTGCGTTTCAAATCAGAGACTTCCTTGGTGACAAGGATTTTGTCTTGTAGGGAAAAAGATATTTCCCGCGGTGGGGAGTATTGTACTGGTAGGGACAGGAAATCTATGGTATACCCTTTTACAGTGTTTAATACCCAGGCATCTGATGAAATGTGGGACCAAGTATGGAAAAAATGTCGGAATCATGTCCCCCACTGCCCATAGGGAAGAATGAAAATCAAGAGGACTTATCATAAGGTCGCCGTCCTGAGTGAGCGTTTCGTGGTCCACGAGCACCCCACGGTTGCCCACATTGTGGAAAGAACGCCGGAGCGTTGCAGTGTTCTGTGAAACTAGCTCGTCCTGTATAGGAGCCTCGGTTCTGTCTAAATTAACTCCTGTTAACACGGCCGGACAGACGGCTCCTTGCTCTTCCGGCCCCAAACACCTTGGGATGAAACATCTTGCGCATGTTTGATTGCGCTTTGTCTAGGGTAGTATATGTGTGTACAAAGGAGCCTAACTCCTTGACAAAATTGTCTCCGAATAGGAGACCTTTGTCGCCCGGCTCATTCAGAGCCATATTAAACCAGTTTCGGTTCTATTTTTAACAATATTGCCTCGCGTTGCTCTGTGGCCATCGCCGTGTTGGCATTGCCAATCAAGCAAATAACCTGTTGGATCCATCAATTTATAGAGGCACGATCTAGCTCTTGGCCGTCTTGGACCACTTCAAGTATCTTGGTTGCTGGGCCAAAGATGTCTAAGACTTTATCCTGGCAGTTGCGCAGGGAAAAGTCTAGGCCTTTAGTGTAGGCCTTTTAATTCTTGTCTTTCCCAAGAATTGGGTAATTTTTGGGTCAACTGCAGGCATCATCTGGAACCGTGGGCATTCTGCCCGTAGTTTATTCCATGTCGCCTTACCTAAAGGCAAGACACGGAATAAATACCTGGCCACATGTTCTGAGGGGGACCACTCCACCAACCTGGGTGGCGTAGTTCCTCGGGGTCAAATAGAGGTTCCCCATGGTGGTCCAAAATCTTATCCGTGTCCCCTTGGGCCTTATGCTCCACAATATGTATATCCGACTGAAGCGGATTAAAGTCTCGAGAGTGGTTGTATTCTTCGACCGGGCTATCTGATTCGGGATCCGACATATCTTCCGAATCCATATAAGCCTCCTCCTCAATATCGCTGAGATCCGACTCAGAATCTACTTGGGCTTTTGCCCTTTTCCATAATTTAGCCGATTTTGCCTGGCTAGTGGCTCTTTTGCGCGGTGGCAGAGTAGTCGCGCCATCTGTGACAGGTGTATGGCTGTCCATCTGTGACATTGAGGAATGTTTTACCTTTGCCAAGGCCTTGCGGCCAGCCTGAGGTTGCATAGGGGTCGTGACAGGCAAGACCTGGGCAAGAGTCGGTTGAGATGATTTTTGTGCCTGAATCAGGGCATGCGTAAACGTCTGTGATATCGAGTCAGACATTAGTCCCATGGCCGACATAAAGGCTTTAGTCATAGCCTGTGACATAGTGTTATCTATCAGGGTCTACATATCAGCAGAGGTATCAAGCTCAGCGGGGGAACCCACTGCATTATCAGACACACCTGAAGGTGCCTTAAAACCACTTTGGTTGGGGTTATTAGACCCAGAGGGTGTGGGAGCATCTTTGTCAGAAGGCATAACAAGTATGCTATTGACTGACAGGATTATGTCCTAGTAATAAGAGAACAAAAAAAAAACAAAAAAAACCTGTGGGGAACAAAACCTGTGGAGGAGGGTTGAGTGACCCAAAGGAGGGAATCCAAAGTATAGAACAAAATTTAAAGGACCACTCTAGGCACCCAGACCACTTCAGCTTAATGAAGTGGTGGTCTGGGTGCCAGGTCCCTCTAGGATTAACCTTTTTTTTATAAACATAGCAGTTTCAGAAAAACTGCTATGTTTATACTGAGGGTTAATCCAGCCTCCAGAGCCTCTAGTGGCTGTCTCATTGACAGCCGCTAGAGGCGCTTGCGTGATTCTCACTGTGAAAATCACAGTGAGAAGACGCAAGCGTCCATAGGAAAGCATTATGAATGCTTTCCTATGAGACCGGCTGAATGCGCGCTCAGCTCTTGCCGCGCATGCGCATTCAGCCGAAGGGGAGGAGGAGAACTCCCCACCCGGCGCTGGAGAAAGGTAAGTGTTTAACCCCTTCCTCTCCCCAGAGCCCGGCGGGAGGGGGACCCTGAGGGTGGGTGCACCCTCAGGGCATTATAGTGCCAGGAAAACGAGTATGTTTTCCTGGCACTATAGTGGTCCTTTAATATTATTAATATTCTTATTATTATTATTACTCACAAATAATCATTAATGATAGGAGAAGGAACAGAGAGCCGTCCGACCGCCTCTAGCACTAACCCCCAACTCTGAGTTCCAGTCTGTGGGGGGCAGTGCTAGCTTCAGGACGCGGGAAAGGCAATAAAAATGGCGGCCGTGAGCGGCAAAATTCCCAAAAGGGAAGGGAACAGGAGTGTTCGCGTAGACGAACCCCTTGCATTCACTGAATTATCCAAACTAAACTGCCGAATTAGGGGTTCGTGAAAGGGAACGCATGGTTCCCAGAGAGTTTGTGCAAAAACACCCGAATGAGGGTATCTAATCCTTAGTATGGAGACAGACGAATGGGTGCACAGAGGAAAGCGCGCATGCTCGACTGCAGCAAGATGGCGGTCGGACGGATAACAGGTAGGAAAAAGGCGCGAAAGCGCCGTGACAGGTATCAGCGGTTCCTGCAGACGTCCCTGAGCTCAGTTAATCGTACTGGTCTCATGGGGTCAAGGGAACCAAGAAGGGAACAAAAAAAAGAGCAAATACAATAATAAGAAGTATATATATATAAAAACTGTTAAAAAAACAGGCAGATATGTAAGCACATAATTAAATAGGAATAATTTAGATAGTATAATAGTATTAAATAACACAAACTGAAAATCACAGTAATATAACATGTAAAAGAAAAACAATCCCACAGTTAAGAAACCCTGGGACCTGATGTTACTTAACTGAGGGAGCAGCAAAGAAAGAGGGATTGGATGGTTGACAGAGCCTATTATGCTGGAGAGCGGAATCCGATTGGCTGTTGCTGTTTCTAAGACGATACTCACCTCAGACTGTTTACTGTTACTACTGGCTATGTTAGAAAGTTTATCTTTGCTGCTGAGGGAAAATAAAGAAAGAGTGCAGCATAATAGGAGCCTCCGTGTCTTAATAAAATTATTTTTATCTTATACAACTGTTTATCGTGTATTGATTTAGAATCACGCTTAATATCATGTGCCACACAGCTACGCCATCTGAAGGTACCCCTATGACGTTGCAGCAGTTTATTGGCCGCACAACGTCATAGAGGGATAGAGTAGTCCCATTCAAAAGTTCATGCAGTATCAATGCTGGCCTTGGCTCTTGCAGCACCGAAACACGCATTGAGCGGTCAGCTTGACCTATTTATTGTTTTTAAATTACTGATATCCAGATAGAAGCCTTCGCAGCATAGTTATATATTCTTCTCGGGGAGTGCCTTGAAGCAAGCAGTAAGGTGGAGGTTTACTAAATAGGGAGATATATTCTCCCTCCTCTGTGTCAATAAATGCCCTCACTGGGATTCTCAGACTGTTTATAGACTATCTTTCCCTAATGTGCGTGGCAGCATGTGTGACTGAGTTTAAGATAACTGTGAAACAATTAATAAAACTTACAATTATAACGCCGGTGGTTGTATCCATTGGGTGTTGCACCAAGAACCTTCCCTTTTACTTGTATGTGAGATATATACCTGCAACAATATTGATACACTTTGTTAAATCAGAGATTCACCTTATTCTGGTTTCTTCTTTTACCAGCAGAACCAGGATCTTTCTGAATTCTCTAATTAAGCATTATGACCTAAACCTTAAAGGGACACTGTAGTCACCAAAATAACTGTAGCTTCATGAAGCAGTTTTGGTGTATAGATCATGTCCCTGCAGTCTCACTGATTAAATCTCTGCCATTTAGGAGTTAAATTGTTTATGAACCCTAGTCATACCTCCCTGCATGTGACTTACACAGCTTTCCATAAACACTTCCTGTAAAGAGTCATCTAATGTTTACATTTCTTTTATTGCACAGCCTGTTTAATTTAAAATTTCTTATCTCCTGCACTGTTTATAGCTTGCTAGACCCTGCAGGGACCTTATGTGTCATTAAAGTTCAATTTACAGAGCAGGAGATAAAAATGTTTAAAGTAAGTTACACCTGATTGAAAATGAAACCATTTTGTTTTCATGCTGACTGTGTCAGTCAGTCACAGCCATTGGAGGTGTGGCTATGGCTGCATAAACAGAAACAAAAGTTATTTAAAGGGACACTATAGTCACCTGAACAACTTTAGCTTAATGAAGCAGTTTTGGTGTATAGAACATGCCCCTGCAGCCTCACTGCTCAATCCTCTGCCATTTAGGAGTTAAATCCCTTTGTTTATGAACCCTAGTCACACCTCCCTGCATGTGACTTGCACAGCCTTCCATGAACACTTCCTGTAAAGAGAGCCCTATTTAGGCTTTCTTTATTGCAAGTTCTGTTTAATTAAGATTTTCTTATCCCGTGCTATGTTAATAGCTTGCTAGACCCTGCAAGAGCCTCCTGTATGTGATTAAAGTTCAATTTAGAGATTGAGATACAATTATTTAAGGTAAATTACATCTGTTTGAAAGTGAAACCAGTTTTTATTTTTTCATGCAGGCTCTGTCAATCATAGCCAGGGGAGGTGTGGCTAGGGCTGCATAAACAGAAACAAAGTGATTTAACTCCTAAATGATGGTGAATTGAGCAGTGAAATTGCAGGGGAATGATCTATACACTAAAACTGCTTAATTTAGCTAAAGTAATTTAGGTGACTATAGTGTTCCTTTAACGCCTAAATGGAAGAGAATTGAGCAGTGAGATTGCAAGGGCATAATCTATACACCAAAACTACTTCACTAAGGTAAAGTTGTTTTGGTGACAATAGTGTTCCTTTTAATAGAAGCAATTGTATTTTACTACTAGTCATTGAGAATTATCACACTGACCTGTAGTCCTCTTTGTTGTGGCTTAACTTTACTGTGTAAGGGGGTTCTTTTCTTATAATATTTTGAACTCTGTAAATCACTCTGATTTCCACCATTCTAAAGGCTACCTTTAGTACTGTCTAATGCTTAAGGAATAAGATTGAGGCTCCTGGCTTTAATCAGTTGTTTTCTTTTCCCTTCTATACTGGAAGATTTTTTGTCCATACATTAAACTGTTGCATATCCCTGACTCTGGCCAGCCTCACAGTGCTAGCATTTTGATACAGTATTGCACTACACCAGTGATTCCCAATTGGTGTTCAGCGGAACCCTAGAATTCGGAGAGAACAAAATTGGAGTTCCGCTGCAAATTGCCCATCGGGTGGCCCAAGCATTTAGGGCCACCCAATGTGTATTGCTAAACAGAGGTCCTCTCCGGTCCGGACCCCTGTTGTATGGGATGCTAGGAGGAAGTGACAGCACTTCCTCCCAGACAGAACAAGCTGGCAGAAGGGAGAGAGGGAGCAGCAGGGAGTGAGCAGCTGGCACACCATCCTAGGCCAGCAGCCTGCAGCACTAAAGAAAAAAGTTAAGTGAACAGCAAATATAAACAGGTGTATGTGTTTATGTGTGTGTGTGTGTGTGTACCTGTGTCAGTGACAAACGCTCCTTCCCACGTACGTTTTCCACGGACTCCTGGAGGGGTGTAGAAGACAGCCTACTATGGTCTAGGTCTGGGACACCGTTTGGGAGCACTTTCCCTTCATGCGAATGGCCGCCACAGAAACAGCGTTTGTTCCATTCGCATGAAGGGAAAGTGCCGAACCAGGGTCTCCCAGGGAAAGCTGTTAATGGTGGCTGGGCAGAGTGACTCCTAAACGGTGTTGCAGACCTAGACCATAGCCGGTGGGCAGGAGGCCGGCTTCTACACCCCTCCAGGAGTCTGTGGCAAACGTACTATGGAAGGAGTGTTTGTCACAGTGTGTGTATCTGCCAATGTGTTTGAATCTGTGTGTGTGTGTGCCAGTTTGTGTATCTGTGTGTCAAGGTGTGTGTATGTGTCACTGTGTGTGTCACTGTGTCTGTGTGTGTATGTGCTTGTGTTTATCTGTGTCAGTATGTGTGTGCCACTATGTGTGTGTATCTGTGTGTCACATACATAAACACACACAGATACACACTGACACACAGATAAACAAACACTGACACCTTGACATACAGACACACACCGGCACATACAAACACAGATACACACTGGCACATATACACACACACACACAATACTTGACACACAAATACACTGTGCCACACACACAGGCACACAGATACACACACCTTGACACACAGTGTGTATCTGTGTACCAGTGTGTGTATGTGTCAGTGTGTGTATCTGTGTGTCAAGTTGTGTATATCTGTGTGTATGCGCCGGTGTGCATTTGTGTTTGTAAGTGCCAAGATGTGTGTATCTGTGTCAGTGTGTGTGTGTATGTGTTTGTGTGTTTCTGTTTGTTAATGTGTAAGTATGTATGTGGCAGTACATGTACAGACATCCCACCAATCAAACACCAACACAACACACACTCCTGCAAACACAAACATGACATAAAAAGACATCCCTGAACTGTAACTCTAAAATTATATACAAACACTCAAACACCAATGTAGCGGAGAGCTGGTATTTCACAGGTTATCTCCACTAAAGATCCCAGTGAGGCTCATGAACAAGTAATACAATCCCATGCAAGGGAGGGATTCCCATTAATTTGTACAGTAGCCAATAGTGTAATGGTTACCTCCCACACATCTCCTCCCCTCAGTGTGACATATAATGCACTTCTACATACTGCTGTTTTACCCGATTTCTGGATGTACCCCAAAACAGTCAGATATAATTATATAAGGGGTACCCCCTGGTAGCCCTGATCTGGGTGACCAACATATTCAAAATTCACCCAGATCGGACCAGGGGTTCGGGAGTTAGGTGGAAGAGGCAATTTGACCGACCGCACACTAGGTAGTATCCGAAAAGGGCTCCATGTGTTTTGACCTTGCGGTCGGTCTCTGTTCGGGAGATAAAACATATAGAATTACTTGCCATCCAACGTTCCATCGGTATTGGTATGAATTCCCTTACTCGGTACATTTAGTTCACTGAACGAGGGGCTGGTTGGCCCCTCCGTTCGGGAGTTATGGAGCTCTGGAGGTCTCATGGGTGTTCGGGTGATTGAGTGTCCGATTTGAGTTCCAGTCACTCGACGACCAAACATCGCTGAGATTTTCTTGCGTTAGATGGCAGCCGCCACGCGGTTCGTATGCCGAATGGCGACCACCCAGATATGTATACAAAGTACCGATTGTATGGTCAATTAGCGTGCGGTTACAGAGTGTGAAAGCCTAACGAAGTGCACACTTTTCTCTAGGGTGGTCTGATGGTTCGGTAGTTTTCGTTCGTATGGAACACGGACTGAAAACTACCGAACAATCAGGTGAATGCTACATACAATACATCATTACAGGGGAATAATCACACGAAATACCTTTTTAAAGCAAACGTTGAGGACAGCCCAATGCCATCCATTACAACCAATACTACACACAAATGTACATCTGCATTTAAAATCCAACACTACATCCAAACACACCTCTGCACGCAAATGCAAACATTACATACAAACACATAACTGTATTAAAATGCTAAAATTATATACAAACGTTAACGCTACACACAGGAGCACACCTGCTCCCAAGTACTGTATTACAATCTGTTTACTATCTGTAGAAATTAGAGTGTGTATAGATAGCAAAAAAAAAATGCTCTGCTTATTGAAAGGCTTATGCAACAGCGCAACATTTTGTAATTTTTGGGGGGAGGAGGCAAAGGGTGAGTTCCACGATGTTGATACACTGTGTCAAAGGGTTCCACAGTTAATGACAACAGAATTGTATATTTCACACTCTAATGCATTTTCCAGCAATCAATGGTATGGGGAGCCTATTCCGAAAGCATTTAGTCTCATTACCCTGACTTTGGCCAACCTTATAGTGAGTGTTAAGTAACATTTACAATATTACACTTCTTTAACTATTGAGGGATACATATTTTATATCTCAGTATACTCTTAAGGGTTTTGAAGCAGAGGGAGTTTATTGTGGAAATTATAAATATATATTCATAGTGCTACCAAATATTTTTAGTCATCTGTTATCCCCTTTGAAGTTACCCACACAATCCTTTGTGCATTGGAACACTTTATGTATATCCGATGCTTGTTCTTGTTTTTTGACCCACCAAAGAACTATGGAACCAAGTTTTTTCAGGTACTGGCCAACACCCCTGGAAGAGGAGGCGAAGGTGAAGTCTGCATTTATCACTCCGTTTAGGCTTTACCAGTTTTTGGTAATGCCATTCGGGATGAAAAATGCACCCACCACCTTTCAGAGGCTAGTTGATCAGCTCCTCCAAAAGTGCCCTGAATTTGATTGTGCCTACTTGGATCACATCACTTATTTGGCACCACCTGGGAAGATCATGTGCGTCAAGTGGTGGCCGTACTAGACAGGATTGGGCAGGCATGGCTGACCATTAAGCGGGACAAGTGTAGTGTTGCTACCCAGGTCACTGGGTAGGAGGAGGGCAGATGAAGCCAGACCCTGCTAAGGTAGAAGCCATCAGGCAGTGGAGCACGCCTCAGACCAAGAAGCCTCCTAGGAAACACGGGGCACTACAGGAAGTTTGTCTCAACTATAGCACTATAGCTAAGTCAAATAAAAAGGTGTCCTGCGTGGTCAGCTGGACCCCAGAGTGTGAGTCCGCCTCTGAGAAACTAAAGGCAGTGTTACTTTCCCATGCAGTATTATCCACCCCAGACCACAGTAAGAGAGTTCATCGTGCAGACTGATGCCTCTACCTACAGCATCGGACCATCCTCAGTCAAGTGGATGACAATGGGGATGATCCAGTAGCTTTTCTCAGCTGTAAGCTACTGGATCGTGAAGTCAGTTCCGCAGCCATAGAGAAGGAGTGCCTCATGTGGTTTTGGTGCTAAAAAAGTTGCAGACCTATCTCTAAAGTTTACAGTGATAACTGATCACAATCCTCTGTGCTAGCTACACTACTAGCCGGGTGATGGGTGACAATGGCAAACTGCTGAGATGGAGCCTGGCCCTCCAGCAGTATAATTTTAACTTACAATATCGAAAGGACTGGTCACATGGCAGCGCTGATGGACTGTCCAGAAGTAGTAGGATCCCAGCCTGGCAGAAGAACTGTTTTCTGGGAGGGAGAAATGTGACAAAATGCAACGTGTTATTTTGGTATATTTATTAGTTATTATCTCAGCTGCAATTGTATGCCCTAACAAATATCCAGAGAATAAAGGCAATTCAACATGTGTTTACCAGTGGAACGAGCTATTCAGTATACTCTGTAGCAGGTGAAATATACAACCACAGTATATCCTGGGTTGCCGGTGAGTCTGCTACCAAGCAAACATAACCTTGGGGCTTCGTTGAGCAGTTAGCAGTGGAGGTAAGGCAAAGAAACCCAAAAAGTATAGCTGACCTAAACTGGTACACCTTTAATTCCCGAGACGCCGGGGCCTATCACAGTTTCTATCCCAAGTTCATACTGCTATTGGTTGGCTTGGGATATGTAGTGTAATTGGTTACTATCCCAAGTCCATACTGCTATTGGTGGACTTGGGCGCACTGTGCTGTTTGAAATGGAGTTACGGTGGAGGACCTGAGGGAGAACTTAAGGTGTACCACTGTAATTCTATTGAATTTAATTGAGGCTGTGGTGGTATAAATAGATTTGTTATTTTCAATCAAGGTGGTTGTTCTCCCCTTCACTAAGTGTCAGCTAGTGCTTGGGGAGATGGGCTATGATCGTGTATGTTGAAGTCTCTTTTCGTGTGGAAAAGAAGAGTACAATAACTAAATATCCAGACTACACAGATGAGCTGCCCCAGGCACCCGCATATTTTGAGAGGAGATATAAGGCCTGCTTATTGTCCTGGATGTAGGATGGCAAAGATTCCACAATAGGTCTGAGGATTCTACCTACATAGGTGCTGCTATTTTGTGTTAACTTATCAAACCTGGATACAATTGGGCAGCCAAAAAGTTCAGTTAGGCAAAGCATGTCAAACTCAAAGGCTAGCATAGGCCAAATAAACAAGGTTTAAGTTTATGTGGGCCGCAAAAAAAACCTTACATTATCACAGAAACTTTTATTTATTTATTTTGAAAAGTACAGAATAAAAAAAACAAACAAAAAAAACAACAACAACAGCATTCTCTTCTACTAAACCCCTGCCACCTCTACTAAACCCCAACCCCCCCCCACAAACTCTTACAAGAGCTCAGTGATTATAGCAAGGGAATATGCAGAGCATAGCAATCCCTTGTAGCTGATTCCCCCAATAAGAGACAGGACTCAGATTGAGGGTGAAGTAGAACTGACTGTACTGGCACATACAGCCTCTTTTATTCCCAATCCACAAATTTAGTACTGCCCACAGGGTTTTGAAATACAACCAATCAATCAGTACAATACACACAGACACTCCCACACAAATTCCTCCCCTCTGCCTGTGATATGATTACTGAACACAACTTACTTAATTATCACAGGCAGGAAAATACACAGTTTTACACAATATTCATAACTATACATCACATTCACAGAATCAACATACTCCAAAGACAAACATACATCAAAATCATACAAATTGGCCCAGTGGGTCAAAAGTTAGTTGAAAGTCCCTTTGTGACCATCTGCAAGCATGGCTTGGGTGTGGTAAGCCAATTACCTCCATCATACAGAAAATGGCTCTATTCACAACAACAGTAAAAACACATAATTCCTATTATACTTAACAGAACCCCCACTTATCCCCAGATAGCTTGGATCTGAGCGCTCACTATATCCGAACCGCGCTCAGATCCACAACCACAGTCAAATCGCCATGGGGTTAAAACACAGCAAGAGCTGATGAGAGACAGAGGAGGGACAAAAGCAGTCAGTTCCAACTGGTCTGGTAGTGTGCCTGCTGGAGAACAATGGACAGGAAACAGACGAGGGGAAGAGACACATCTTCCCATGGATTCAAATGGGCAGAAACAGTCTTTTAGAAGCCAATAAGCCCCAAATAGTCCTTTTAAATGGCAATACACCCCAGGGTCATAGTCATGAGGGGGGAGGCTGGCAATCAGGCTCCTCCAACAGCAAAGGACAATTGGTCATATAAAAATCCAGTGACATAAGGCATTTTGTCACACTCAGATAGCTCAGGTCTGAGCACACATTAATACAGAATAGCGCTCAGACCACACGAATACAGTTTAATTACCATGGAGCCAAAGTCTTTAATTACACGAACAGGCTCCATGGCATGCTATCTGGGTACCCTCATTCATATAATACAAAGTCCCGAAAGCCGGCGTTCGGTTGAATAACTGGTGCGGGAATCAAGGAAGGCTGGAGGTTCAGCGGTGTTGGAGAGTGAAAGTGTCCACTTCCAGCTCACTGAGTCCGGGCTGAGCACTGCTGGTTGTGCCGGAAACTGCAGAACACCGCCATCGTGTGGCAGCTAGGTGTAACCGCGACCACCCGGGAACAGACAATTAAGTGGCGGTTAACCGCAGCTACTGGGTGGTCAATTGACGGCACACGCTAGCTGCAGGGAGATCAATTGGAGGCACAGGCCAGCTTCCCGGTGGTTGCGCCTTCATGCGGCTTTCGGTAGATTAACAGGGGACTATAGTGTCCCATTAAGCTGTAGTTCTGGTGACTATAGTGTCCCTTTAAGCGGTAGTTGTTTTGGTAACTATAATGTCCCTTTAAATTGTAGTTGTTTTGGTGGCAATAGTGTCCCTTTAAGCTGTAGTTGTTTTAGTGGTTATAGTGTCCCTTTAAGCTGTAGTTCTGGTGACTGTAGTGTCCCTTTAAGCTGTAGTTGTTTTGGTGGTTATAGTGTCCCTTTAAGCTGTAGTTCTGGTGAATGTAGTGTCCCTTTAAGCTGTAGTTGTTTTGGTGACTATAGTTTCCCATTAAGCTGTAGTTTTGTTTGGTGACAATAATGTCCCATTAAGCTGTAGTTCTGGTGACTATAGTGTCCCTTTAAGCTATAGTTCTGGTGACTATAGTGTCCCTTTAAGCTATAGTTCTGGTGACTATAGTGTCCCTTTAAGCTGTAGTTCTGGTGTCTATAGTGTCCCTTTAAGCTGTAGTTCTGGTGACTGTAGTGTCCCATTAAGCTGTAGTTCTGGTGACTATACTGTCCCTTTAAGCTGTAGTAGTACTGGTGACTGTAGTGTCCCATTAAGCTGTAGTTCTGGTGACTATAGTGTCCCTTTAAACTGTAGTACTAGTGACTGTAGTGTCCCTTTAAGCTGTAGTAGTACTGGTGACTGTAGTGTCCCTTTAAGCTGTAGTAGTACTGGTGACTGTAGTGTCCCATTAAGCTGTAGTTGTTTTGGTGACTATAGTGTCCCTTTAAGCTGAGGTAGTTCTGGTGACTATAGTGTCCCTTTCAGCTGTAGTTCTGGTGACTATAGTGTCCCTTTAAACTGTAGTACTAGTGACAGTAGTGTCCCTTTAAGCTGTAGTAGTACTGGTGACTGTAGTGTCCCATTAAGCTGTAGTTGTTTTGGTGACTATAGTGTCCCTTTAAGCTGTAGTAGTTCTGGTGACTATAGTGTCCCATTAAGCTGTAGTTCTGGTGACTATAGTGTCCCTTTAAACTGTAGTACTAGTGACAGTAGTGTCCCTTTAAGCTGTAGTAGTACTGGTGACTGTAGTGTCCCTTTAAGCTGTAGTAGTACTTGTAGCGGACCGTTTCTCTCAAACGGGGATAAAATCCGTTTAGGCGATAATCCCCTTTCCCATAGACCAGCAGCTATTGCAATCACCAACCTCCCGAACTCCAAACTGTACGAATCCCCAACTCACGAACAAGAAATACACGAACTCTGGAAGCAGCCGAACAGGAAAAGCCATACGAACGGCTTACACTCCTGGCAGTCAGCACACAATCCAATTCCCCCAATAACAAGACGACACTTCGTTTTGAGGGTTAAGCAGAATCTAATCGATTTATTCACACAGCCTCCTTTTAAGACATTCTCCCATGCAAGGGAGGGATCCACAACAATTAGTACCTCAGCCAATAATGTACCAGTTACCTCCCACACATCTCCTCCCCTTAGTGTGACACATAATCCCATTAGTACAGACACAAATTCCCTGGGATACTGGATGTACCCCTAAACATAGGAATACCCCTTTAAATGTTACATCCCCTGGTAGCCCTGATCTGGGTGAGACACATATCCAAAAATCACCCAGATCGGACCAGGGGTTCAGGAATTATAAAGGGTTAAAGTTTTGACCGACTGCATGGCAAAAGTATCCGAAAATAGTTCCATGTATTTTGGCCCTGCAGTCGGTCACAGAAAAGGGAATCAAACACACGAATTGCCTGTGTTACAGAGCTTGGGGAGGATTTGTATGAATCCCCCTGTTCGTGGGATCCTTTCTACCGAACGGCGGGCCGTTCGGTAGTTTCTGCACGAATTGCTGGAAGTCTGGAGGTCTCAGCGGTGTTTGCTTAGTCGAGTGTCCGATTTTAGTTCCAGACACTCGACGGCAAAACACCGCTGTTCGGGAGTTTAAGATGGCCGCCGCCACGTGTTCGTTTCCCGAATGGCGGCCACCCAGAGGACACAACACACATTACACATATTGCCAATTACCCGTTTGCAACATTGTTGCAAACGGTAATTGGAGGCACACTTACTCCAGGGTGGTCTGGTTGTTCGGTAGTTTCACCCCATATAATGAATGGAGTAATTCTGCCGAACAATCAGACGAATGCTGCATACACATAACACTGTTTACCGCACATATAATATTAAATACAGCCTGAATGCAATTTGCTACACAGTCTTAAAAAGGCATTATTCCTAACAGGCAGAATATGTCCACGGATGGCCCTTAAAGGGCCAGTAGCAGCAATATAAAAATGTCACATGCCCAAATATTGCATACACAAGTACGAATTCACAAGGGGGGCCATAGTCAGATGGCAGGAGGCTGGCAACCAGGCTTCTCCAGTGCATAGTGGCGAGGTTGGTTTCGCCACACTTCTCCCCTTTACCAATCAGACTAACAGGGTATCTGACCTCCTGACGGTCAGTGCCCTTGTTAGTCCAGCAGCCCACCCACAAAACACAATCAGTAATACAGCCCACCCACAATAACTGGCTACTACACCTGGGTAGCGGAGAACTTTGTCCGTGTCCAGGTGCCTCACCATGGCTGTGTGGGTGACTGGTCAGCGCACTGGGTGTGTTGCTGAGTGGGCAGAGACCAGCGGTACTCTGTCCTGGTGCCAGCACTACCATGGGAGCAGTCTGGTTGGAGCCTGGTTGCTGGAGGAGAAGACAGACTGTCTCCCCTTTGCCTAAACAGTCCTGCTGCTGGGTGACAGGACCGACTTTCCCTACCCCCGGTGGTGCATGTGCAGCGACTACTGTCCCATCTGCACTGTTGTGGAGATTACTGTCTCCCCTTGGTGGGCTAAGCTGCCGCTGGGGAGAGGGTGTAACAAGCTCCTCTCCCATACATACTTTCAGCCGCTGGGGAGAGGGGATAACCAGCTCCTCTCTCTGACACACTCTCTGCTGTTGAAGGGGGAGACCGACTGTCTCCCCTTTCAATAATTCGTCCTGTTGCTGGGGAGAGGTGATAACTGTCTCTCCCTGAACACTCTCTGCTGTTGGAGAGGGGACCACCTAATATATTGTCCTGTTGCTGGGAGCCGGTGACCACCGGTTCCTTCCAGGACACATCACGTCAGCTGGGGAGGAAGGGACTGCACCTCAGTCTGGGAGCAGCACACTGCCGCTGGGGAGGAAGGATGGCACCTTCTGCTCCCTGGGACACACACTGCCGCTGGGGAGGAAGGACGGCACCTTCTGCTCCCTGGGGTACACACTGGGACACCTGCTGGGGAGGAAGGACGGCACCTTCTGCTCCCTGGGACACACACTGCCGCTGGGGAGGAAGGACGGCACCTTCTGCTCCTGGGTACACACTGCCGCTGGGGAAGAAGTACGGCACCTTCTGCTCCCTGGGGTACACACTGCCGCTGGGGAGGAAGGACGGCACCTTCAGCTCCCTGGGATACACACTGCCGCTGGGGAGGAAGGACGGCACCTTCTGCTCCCTGGGGTACACACTGCCGCTGGGGAGGAAGGACTGCACCTTCTGCTCCCTGGGGTACACACTGCCGCTGGGGAGGAAGGACGGCACCTTTAGCTCCCTGGGATACACACTGCCGCTGGGGAGGAAGGACGGCACCTTCTGCTCCCTGGGGTACACCTATGAGTCCCCGTAACGCACTCTGCCTCCGGATACGGCGGCTGATACCTTTGGCTGGATCTGCCATGAACTCCAGGTACTCGTCTACCTGGCTCCTTACGAACTGCACGTATTTCTCCGGGGGGTTGGGTCCAAAGAAAGCCAGCCGCATGGTAAACTCTCTGTCATACTGCTCCTGAGTGTAGCTGGGTGCCATGCTTGCGCTGCTGAAGTTAGTTCTTTTGTAGATAGGGTCGCTGTACGGGTACTGGCGTTGCCCTCACTTTGTAATCCAAGGAATGGTGTTGCCCTGTAGCTGTCTTTCTGGTTGTAGGAACGATCCCGCCGCTTGCCACCAATTGTAACGGACCGTTTCTCTCAAAGGGGATAAAATCCGTTTAGGCGATAATCCCCTTTCCCATAGACCAGCAGCTATTGCAATCACCAACCTCCCGAACTCCAAACTGTACGAATCCCCAACTCACGAACAAGAAATACACGAACTCTGGAAGCAGCCGAACAGGAAAAGCAATACGAACGGCTTACACTCCTGGCAGTCAGCACACAATCCAATTCCCCCAATAACGAGACGACACTTCGTTTTGAGGGTTAAGCAGAATCTAATCGATTTATTCACACAGCCTCCTTTTAAGACATTCTCCCATGCAAGGGAGGGATCCACAACAATTAGTACCTCAGCCAATAATGTACCAGTTACCTCCCACACATCTCCTCCCCTTAGTGTGACACATAATCCCATTAGTACAGACACAAATTCCCTGGGATACTGGATGTACCCCTAAACATAGGAATACCCCTTTAAATGTTACATCCCCTGGTAGCCCTGATCTGGGTGAGACACATATCCAAAAATCACCCAGATCGGACCAGGGGTTCAGGAATTATAAAGGGTTAAAGTTTTGACCGACTGCATGGCAAAAGTATCCGAAAATAGTTCCATGTATTTTGGCCCTGCAGTCGGTCACAGAAAAGGGAATCAAACACACGAATTGCCTGTGTTACAGAGCTTGGGGAGGATTCGTATGAATCCCCCTGTTCGTGGGATCCTTTCTACCGAACGGCGGGCCGTTCGGTAGTTTCTGCACGAATTGCTGGAAGTCTGGAGGTCTCAGCGGTGTTTGCTTAGTCGAGTGTCCGATTTTAGTTCCAGACACTCGACGGCAAAACACCGCTGTTCGGGAGTTTAAGATGGCCGCCGCCACGTGTTCGTTTCCCGAATGGCGGCCACCCAGAGGACACAACACACATTACACATATTGCCAATTACCCGTTTGCAACATTGTTGCAAACGGTAATTGGAGGCACACTTACTCCAGGGTGGTCTGGTTGTTCGGTAGTTTCACCCCATATAATGAATGGAGTAATTCTGCCGAACAATCAGACGAATGCTGCATACACATAACACTGTTTACCGCACATATAATATTAAATACAGCCTGAATGCAATTTGCTACACAGTCTTAAAAAGGCATTATTCCTAACAGGCAGAATATGTCCACGGATGGCCCTTAAAGGGCCAGTAGCAGCAATATAAAAATGTCACATGCCCAAATATTGCATACACAAGTACGAATTCACAAGGGGGGCCATAGTCAGATGGCAGGAGGCTGGCAACCAGGCTTCTCCAGTGCATAGTGGCGAGGTTGGTTTCGCCACAGTACTGGTGACTGTAGTGTCCCATTAAGCTGTAGTTGTTTTGGTGACTATAGTGTCCCTTTAAGCTGTAGTAGTTCTGGTGACTATAGTGTCCCTTTCAGCTGTAGTAGTTCTGGTGACTATACTGTCCCTTTAAGCTGTAGTAGTACTGGTGACTATAGTGTCCCTTTAAGTTGTAGTAGTTCTGGTGACTATAGTGTCCCATTAAGCTGTAGTTGCTCTAGTGACTATAGTGTCCCTTTAAGCTGTAGTTCTGGTGACTGTAGTGTCCCTTTAAAGAATCTACCAAGCACAGAAGTTTACTCCCCCATAACCCTCCTTTCCAGTAAGCATTAGAATGTAACAAGGTCTATACAAAGTCTATTGTGGGTGTATCAGAGATGAGAATGCAATATGATGTTATTAATGAAACCATTTCGTTTTTCCCAGCCATCGATAAGGGACCTACTGCACTTCATCAATCCATTAATAAAGTCCATCATCAGCGCAGCTACCCTTACACAGCGGTAAAAGTTACAGAACTAACGTCAAGGATCCACATGTTACCATTGTAAATTGGTCGGCCAACCCTACTTCCCTACAGCCAGGTGAATCTGTCTTCATACAGGAGGAGGTTTCTTTTTTTTTTTTTCATATAAATTCTTTTATTCAATTTCTTACATAAATACAAATATCAGCACAACACCACAAGTCACGTGACATCTTTACACAATCAAAACATTCACAATAGACAAACAAATTACACTATTATCTGCGGGATCGGGCTAGTATAGGAATATGTCTTAGCTCAGGACTCTTACTCTTCAGACATTACCTGATCTAATAGGTATCTGTTTAATTTATATAGTAGGTTCTATTTTATTAACCCATCTTTGCCATAGATCCCTTCTTTTTGGGGAATTCAAATACGGTATACTTAGGTCTCTTTCCATCCTCATCTGAAGGATGATTTGATCTTTAATGGCATCCCAATAAACTACTTGATTAGATTTCCAGTTCCGTGCAAGAACAATTTTAAATGCAATAAGACAGTGAATTATAAAACAACTATTTATATATGACATATTTGGCCAATGCATGTGTAACAAGACTACCTCTGGTTTCTTTTCTAATTCTATTCCAGTATTATCTCTAATAAATCCTATCAGTCTCTTAATAGAGATCTGAATGTTTGAACAACTCCACCAAATGTGGAGGAATGATCCCTCCTCTTTATCACATCTCCAACATCTAGAGGTAACTCCAGGATACATCTGAGATAGCTTGCTAGGAACTAAATACCATCTATACATAACCTTATAATAAGTTTCTAAGGAGGAGGTTTCTATTCACTGGACCCTTACTCACTTTAAAAGATTCAAAATAAGTAAAACCAGGAGATTTCAGTAAACTAGACTCTATGGAAAACCTTTTCTACTGGCTTTGGGCTTCACTGAAATCAAAACTAACTGCATTTTGGGGATCATTTCATTGATTTTTACATTTTTACTATGGCTGTGATTATGTTTTTGTGCTTGTGCCAGACAAATAGCCAAGATGGCTTTCACAATACCGATAAGCCAGCACACGCATATTTTATTTAGGTTTTGAAAATAGTCTATTTCTTAAAACGTAATGTTTGCCAAGACCACCTTACAGAAATTCAGACGTTAAGGGAAAGAAAGTAAAAACCCGACATGGTGTTTACATTGTTCGTTAGCACGGTTGCTAATTGATCATTTTTAGGAAGTGCTTTGAGTGGTCGTTTAGCCTTCCAGCGTTGCTGCGAATGGGTTATGGTCTGGTGGTATGCTAGTGTTTCTTCTACAATTATTTTGTGTTCTGTCTCAACCTGTTTCTGAATGACGTACACCCCTTATTGCTTAATTATGCACACCTCTTAAAGTCTCGAACTTTCTGTTAGCAAGCTTATATAAATCGAAGTACTTATTCAGCTTACTTCGTGTCAGTCTGAGTTTGCTGCTCTCCAAGTGCCCTAAAGTGTGGTTGGACCTCGTCGGAATAGGGACAGGCTGCAGCACAAGCAGTGCTTTCCTAACTTATTGCATGGACCCTCTACTCACGGCTGGAACGACAGGCTTTTGCACAGTGATTTGACTTCCCACATACTTTGCACTCCGTTCCTTTTGCAGGACAGAGATATTGAGCGGTATGAGACTTGTTTTCACAATAGCTGCATTCTTGGAAATGTGCTGAAGCGGCATTACTGGATTGTGTATTGTTACTGTATTTCTATGCACGTTTGGTATTATGCTGCCTTCAAACTGTATGGTGGGGGAATGGGTGCAATGCATTCTCACTTGGAGTGCTTGCGCTGTTTGAAAAATTCTTTGTGTCTGAGCCAATTGCTGACACCTAGCAGCATCTACTGTTTGTTCTAGGGTTAACTCCGAGCCCACCCAACGTTTCTCCCTCATTGTCGCTAATTATATCCCAAATTCAATATGGTCGCGGATCATTTAATCAGTTTGCATAATTTAGATTATTTAACTATTTATTATATAACTTGTATTTATTGCATTTATAAAGCGACAAACATATTCCGCAGCGCTGTACAATTGGGAAAAAGACAAAACAATCAGAACAGACCGTTACGATATGTAGAGGGCCCTTCCCAGGAGCTTACAATCAAAAGGTAAACTGGGGAGACAAAAGGTAATTTGTAGAGATGGCATAGAGAGTTAATGGAATAACTGCAAAAGCTGATACCATGTGAAAGTAATAAGGGGGTGATTGGCTGTATATATATATATATATATATATATATATAAAGACTAGAGAGGGTGAAGCCAATGGTCGACAGGACAGATGAGGGTTTTAACCCTCGGTTTAATATAGGAATACATAAGAGGAGGTCTGTCCCTAGGTAGTAGTTTAAAAAAATTCAAATCTTTATTTTAAATTAAAAGTAAGGAGGAAATAAACAACACACCTGAAAATGGTGAAAATGAACCTACGTCAAATAGCAATGGTGGAAAGGGAAAACATATAAGACAATGGACGTAACATAGTACATACACTGGGTGAGAAATGACTCCAGCGGTAAATATACCCTCGAGAGGTTCCACTAATTCTGAAGGTCCAGATATAGCGGAGAAAGCCAATGAGGGGAAAAAAGGAAACACTATGGTCTTACAAGGGATACAAATAATCTATTGTTAATCACAACATCGTATCTCATGAAAGGAGAGAGAACATAGTGTAACAAAATATATAGCTGCAAAAACACAGGCGGTGAGTAACTGTCTCAACAAAATATAAACTTGGCTTAGTATCAAATACTATTACGGACCAGTAAAATGTTAGCCAGAAGTTAATTATAATGGCAGAATCAATTATACAGGCAGTCGGGATAAGCGGAAAATATCATAAGTAAACAAACATAGTGATATGGCGTTTCGGATGTAAAGAGGTTCTGAGGATGAGAAAAGTCTAACTGTGCCTTCGAGGGCACCTATCTGGCGTAAGAAGTCTAGCTACCTGCCTTAATCAGGAACCACTGTAGTATCAGGTCAGGATATTAAGGCTGACTGTGCCTTCGAGGGCACCTATCTGTAAATCGATTACTAACTAGCTATCTACCTCCAA